GCATGCAGCTGAACTTGCACTGTCAAAGCTCAAGCTGTACAAGTACACTTTAGCATACATTTTAAAAAGAGAGTATTAATTATGAATATTAATATAATAATATACTTAAGGGCAAACTGGATGTAATTTTTTGGACACCTAATTGAATGTTAATTGCAATCAAATTCAAATGTTTTATATTTTAAATTGAACTATATTATTAGCACTTTTATTAGCTAAATGTATCAATTAGCTGAACTTTAGAGTGTTTTTGACCCACTTAAGTGATTAATGTACATCTTCACGTGTATTTGATCTATTTCATTGTCTTTGAAATATGGTTTGTTTGAAATATGTCTATTGAAATATGTGTACTTCCAAATGCACTGACAAGCCTAAAATATACTTCAATGTAATTTCTATTAAAACTTGTATGTCATGTATTTAAATTAAATTATGTTTGTATGATCAAGTTGCAATTTAGCACATTAAATGTAATATCGAGCAACACTACAGTTAAAATTATAATCAAGTACTTTGCATGTGCTTTAGTATGTTAGTTAACACATCAAAATAAGTGCACTTATTTAAAGCATAATAAAAAAAATATTAAAACAATGATTTAAAATATACTTTAAAGTAAAACTTTTGATTAAAGGAGACGTAGTTATTTTATATTTCATTGTACTTATTTCAATAAGTACTGAGTAATATTAATTAATTAATATTAATATTAATTAACTACATGTATTTACTATAGGGGTAGGGTTAGGGTTTGGTTTAGTTACTTGTATATATGCATAATTTACAGTTATTCTGCTGTAGTCTACGTCACATTAAAATAAAGTGTTATCAGACTTTTAATTTGGCATCATTGCAAGTGCACTTATTTAAAGTGTATAAAGAGTGTAGTATTCATAAGTGTAGTAGGCTAGTCTATTATCTTTAAGTACACTTAAGTTTTATTTCATTTACATTATTTTCTCTGCAGGTACAGATATTGAAAAATATGTGATTAACATTTGAAGTACACTAAAACTGCACATTAAACACTTCTTTTTCATCAGAGTGAGCAACGCATTTCAGTTCATTACATCGTTTTCCTAGTGGCAAATAGAGTTAGAGTCAATCTCCTGAATGGGTTTCTGCATGCTTATTTTCGTCAGAAATTCTTCAGAACCTATTATTGCGGGAACGTGAGAACATGTCAGTACCAAACAGGGCACTGCAAAACATATTCAGCACTGCAGGAAATCGTTGGTTCACTTGTTTTGGTTTGGACTGCAATAAAGTTACTCAAATGGCAGCTGGTGGACTTAGTTGTTAATGTTGAGGATATAAAAGACGTTTGAAAGTGGTGAGAGATGTCAATCAGAAGACTCATAGTAGTGCAACTGTACGAGCCGACTATGATTGCTCTGGGAGGGTGTTTGTGTGTGTGAACACATGGACTGCATAAACAGAGTTATTGCACAGAGAGAAGGGTGGTATTTGGTGGATAAGGCTGAGTTTGTTCTTCAGTGAATATTTCACACTGTGGAAATGTGTTTCAGAGGGATGTGTAAAATCTAAAGACCTTAAGTGAAAACAGAGCAGAGGAGAGAAGTGCAAACACATGAACTTTACAGTTATCCTTTTACTTGCTATGTTTCTACTGACATATTATGATAGCAGTTTGTAAACTGCCGATAAGCTTTACATTTCCTTACATAGCTGTCAAATATTTCACAGATAATGTTGATAAAGTAATTTTCGCAAATGAACTTCATTATTATATTGTATTGTATCGTATTGTATTATTTTATATTATATTATATAATATTATACTTTTATCACGTGAGAAGAAAATAAAGATTGATATGAAAACGGAATGAGGAAAATCTGACTGCTGAATTCTGCAATTGACCAATCTGAATCAAGTATCCCATGAGCCGTGCAATTAATAAAATAACACAAATATAATATTTGTGGGTTACATTTTATTTTAAGGTGTCCTTCTTATAGTGTAATTATACATTTAAGTACTGAGCAATATTAAATGGTAACACTTTACAATAAGGTTCATTAGTTAACATTTACTAACATGAACTAACAATGAGCAATACATTACAGTATTTATTAATCTTTGTTAATGTTAGTTAATAAAAATAGAGTTCACAGTGCATTAACTAATGTAAACAAATACAACCTTTGATTTGGATACCATATTAGTAAATGTTGAAATTAATATTAACTAAGATTAATAAATGCTGAAGAAGTATTGTTAATTCTTCATGTAGTAGTTAACTAATGTTAACTAATGCACCTTATTGTAAAGTGTTACCAATTAACTACATGTATAGGTTTAGGATTAGGTTGGTTTAGGGTTAGTTGCATGTAATTATGCATAATTTATAGTCATTATAAAAACTACATGTAACGTGTTACAAGGACACTGTAAAATAGTGTGTGCATAAATGTATGTTTCGTATGCGCTTTATAGCAAAGTTTTGTGGTGTTACACAAGGGTTAATCATAAAAGGAAATGCACCAGGTGTATAAGTTAGGGGACACGATTAATATGCTGTGTATTCTAAATATAAACTCCCCCCTTGAATAACACAGTCAGCATTTTCCCATATAAAGTAAAAGTGGAATAAGAGATCAATTCAACTCATAAAACTAAAACTAAAGATACTAGACAAGGAATAATCTGTCAATATAGAGGCAATAAAGCTATAAATTCGCTCAGTTGACCCAAATTTGACTAATTTTGATTGCAGAACAAGAAAGTTTCGTACTTTCCCAACAGAAGCTGTCTAAATATGAGCTTTGGCTAGATTGTCCTGTCACTGCTGAGTCATAACATAAATGAAGAAAGAAAACTAAAGATGCCAATGTAGAAATGCAAATGAATCTAGACAGAAGCACCAAAAATACGTATTACTAATGTTACAATTTAAACATTAGTAAGACTTAACCTATAATGTGATGGCATGTTCTAACAAGGCAGTATGTCTCATTTTGCTTTAAGGAGCCAATAGAACACACATTTCTCAAATTACAAGCCAAAAAAAAATTGAGTGTATATTAATTCTATATTAAATCACTATAAAAAACACACACTGGTTGTATATATAATAATAATATAATAATGTTGATCCGAATTGGGTGTAGTGTTAATTAATTTAGGAGGAATAAAGAAATGTGTAATAGCTCCATGTAGGAAATCCCCTCATGCTGGTAAAGGTGACATACCATTGCTCACGAGAAAGAAAAGCTCAAGCCATCTGTGCAACCGTCTATATGTTTGTTTGAATACATGCCGTGGCGAGCATGTGAGCATGAGCAAGCAAAGCAAACTGATGCTTGATGAGGGAGAGTTTCCGTACTTGTGGGAACGCTGCCAATGAGGAAAACAGAGCGCCAAGATCTCGAAAGAAATGTGTCTGATGACACACGTGAGAATTTCCATGTCTCATGCACCATTTTTAACATCCATGCCCAGCCAAACTGGACAAAGTCATGGAGAGAGGCGGCTATTTTTAAGTGAACATGAGATGGCTTGCCTGTTTTAGTCAATGAAGCAACTACAGATGCAGTTGCCCATGCAACAAAAGAAAATCACTGAACATGAGTGAAGGCAACATTTGCTGAGGAATCAGCAAATAAAGTGAAGTGATTCACATTTGTGCTATTACATTATATCCATTTAGTCATGTAAAAAGAACTGTTTTTTTTTTCCAGAATTTTGTTCTTGTTTTTGTTTTTTTACATATATATAAATTATGTTAGGGAGAATGGGGCTAGTTGTCACAAAGGGAAGTTGTCTGCTATATCTCAGAAACAAATGGCATTAATGTGTATTAAAGTATAAAAGTATAAATATACTGTATGTATGTGTGTATATATATATATATATATTCCAGTATTATAATACATTTTATTTCAATTAAATTAAATCTATGAATCTATATATAAATAGCTCAAATTTAACCGTTGTTTAATTACAGTACAATTTTCCAAACAATGGTTTGATATCTTTGCATGTTATATATTTTACATTGTGCTGAATGGCAGGTTCCTGTTCCACAAAAGTTCAATGAAATATGGGGGGGGGGGGGGGGGGGGGGAGAGATACTTTAAAGTTTGTGCACATATAGAAATAGGATTTTAAAAATAAATAGCATTTTAAAAAACATTCACTACAGTAAACCGTGATATGTCAAGTGTATTTTCAGTTCCCATAATGGCCACAAGTGGCAGGACAGGAGTATGAGTCAGACTGATACCACAAAAATGAAACCAGGACCGACTGTCACACACTGCTGTCATATACACTTTTGTTGTTGAATAACCAGACCAAGCCATATAAAATTACATTCATAACATCTTGAAACTATGTAAGGCATACAATTCATAGGCCTACTGGGTTTTATTGCAAAATAAACCCAGACAGGGTGATCTTTAGTGCTTATTTTGTGATGTAATTTTCCAGCTCATTATGCAGCTACTTAGACAGACAGACAGACAGATAGATATATAGATAGATAGATAGATAGATAGATAGATAGATAGATAGATAGATAGATAGATAGATAGATAGATAGATAGATAGATAGATAGATAGATAGATAGATAGATAGATAGATAGATAGATAGATACTTATAGCCTATTATTTAAATGTAGGCTAAGCTAATGTTCTTGATTATTTTCAATTTATATGAATTTGATTTCATCTCAAAGTGACAAGAAAAACATGCTGGAAAACAAAAGCAGTAGCCTAGACAGTATCGTTCTCAACCAAACCGGTAGGCCATGGGAAAATGTCTGTCGGGGGCAGTTATCGCGACAGGTTACTGTAAATTAATCACACTACTCTCTTGTTTTGCCTGTCAGTTGTGTCGGTGAAACTGAAACATTTTTTGCCACTGGCTAAAAATACTCAAGCTGTGCTTTACGAGGCGACTTCGACAATCTGTGGGAGCGGCGTACGGGAATGATAGCTCCGCCTACTGTATTTTTTTTTTGCTCTTAGCATAAAAACTCGCTGGAGCAGCACAACGCAACCAGCAGTCGTTCTCAGCTTCTGACGGCACATCATTCCTTTACAACAACAACAAAAGCAACACTTGACTATGTCCGATACGCTTGGCGAAAGTCTCATACGGGTAAGTTAAACTGAGTTTACGTGTGTTTTGTTTGTCTTAGGGGACCGTGGCATAATTGCCAAGCGTGTTTCATCCTCCTAATTCACATTGTTATTATTTTACAGAATCTCATCAACCTGGGTTTAGATGACCCGTTTCCACAGCTACCCCGCCCTTTCTCATCGAAGAGCATCAGTTCCGAGCGCCTCACCGATGGCATCTGGCCTGCGGACGCCTGGAACGACAGAGCGCCCTGTAAACCCCAGTTAAAAGCAGACCGATCCATGAGTCTGACCGACACCTTGAACAGAATGAAGCCCAACGACGTCCCCCCACCGCCCGGGTTTCCTCCCCTGGCAACCCTACCTTCAAACCGGTACAAGACCGAGCTGTGCCGAAGCTTTCATGAGCACGGCAGCTGCAAATACGGCACAAAGTGTCAGTTCGCCCACGGCGAGAGCGAGCTGCGAGGGCTTTTCCGCCACCCCAAATACAAGACTCAAGCCTGTCGTACTTTCTACCAGTTTGGATACTGTCCCTACGGAAGCCGCTGTCACTTCATCCACGATAAAAACGCTATGCTCGAGCTTGACCAGAACCGGCGTCAACTGCGTCAAAGCGTCAGCTTCGCCGGCTTCACTCGCAGCAACTCTCCCCCGACTTTATACGAGCCCCTGAGCTTCACCCGCGCGCCCTCTGTCTCGCCTCCTCCCGCCGATATCTCGTCCCCCGTCTTCAGCGACTCCTCCCGCGACATGTTCCCCTTCAGCCGTCACAGTAGCGGAGATATCCACAACAACGCGCCCTTCACGCCAGAGCCTCGGTCACGATGTGTCTGCGGACACGGAAATAACCTCCAGAGCTCCAGCAACGGGCTATACATGAAGGAAGAGCGAAACAAAGCCAACCTGTGCCGCTTTTCCTCAGAAGACTCACTGTCAGACCGCGAAAGTTACAGCAGCACCGGCAGCTCGAGCGGCTCCGAGTCTCCCACCTTCGACGCCTCCACGGGGAAGCGCCTCACCGTTTTCGCGCGGATGTCTGTGTCTGACTAAGGACTTCACCGCGATTCCTTCTCAATCATTCAATCAGTCAAAAAATAATGTGCAACGAGTCTTAATACTGTTAATTTATTATTATTGTTATTGTTATTATTATTATATACTTGCTAAAGGAGATTATTTTGATACCAAGCTGCCCTCCAAAGCCTAAGTAGCCTAGCCTATTTTTATAATGGTGTGTTATATTGTCTTCCATTTGCTTTTGCTTTTCCTGCTTTTCAACGTTGTTTGGCAGTGAGCATTGCAGACAAGTGCCTTAAAATATCATAACCTATGCTAGTGGCATAAGCAGAGCTTGTGTCAAATATATATGTGTACATATCATATAGCTATCCAGTGTGTGAATTAGGGGGATTGGCTTTTTAAAAGAATTTCCGATGTTTTTGAGAGTGGTCAGATCCCCCAAATAATTTGCACCCTGTATATATATCAACCAACAATGTGACAAACTTGAGAAAAATGACCATTCATTCACTCACAAAGAATGCACTTTACAAATCTATCCTGGGAGAATGTTTCCATGTAGCATTTTAACCAAAGCATTATGATGTTAGGTACCTGTTTTGTACAAAAAAAGTAAGAAACAAACCTAAAAAATATATATATATATTTATACTGGACAAGAGCTGTCAAGTTAATGTTTGACAACCCTGGTTGGGTCCTTACTCAAGGAAACTTGTCTTTTATCAGGGACTGTAACAGTACAGTATTTCTGTAGAGTAGTTTGCTTCATTCGCGATGTTTTTTGTAATTGTATAGACCTAACTAATATATTTATTAAGTATTTATTGAAGTTATAGCAATGTATTTTTTACTTATTTATCAACACGTGTCACGGCTTTTGAGAAATTTTAAGAAGCATTGACACAAAATGATGGAAACGATTTCAATTGACCAAAATAATGTAATAAATGCAAATTGTGAAAAACAATTGTATTGTATTGTGTTGGAACTCCATGTCAGTTGCACCATACCACAATCACAAGAGTATACAGCAAAGTGTTCCTCATCACTGCTTACATTTCAAAATCAGTTCATCATTTTTCTAAGAAAAATGCTGTTTTGTAAATAGGAGCAGGATTAAGATCATATTTGGCATACACAGAGTTATTTCACACAACAACACAGATCTGACCTGAATCAGACAACTATGCATATAACAAAACAATGTCTTAAGCAATTGATAGCTGTCTTTAGAGATTCAAATCTGTCCTGTGTCGCAAATGAGGCCGTCAGCTTCTAGATCTGTGAGTTGGCCAGTTTAATGTAGTGCAAGTAAGATCTTATCACAGACTAATGACGTTGTCATGCATTACATAAGCCGACCCATTGCCTTCTTACGTTGAATGTTACTAAAGAATTAGGAACCTTTACTTTTGAAATGTTTGCGATATTTTTTGCTATAACCCTTCCCCTTTATAATGCTTGATGCTTGTTTTACAGACCAGCCTCACTTACATGTCCATAAACCAGTGCAAATATACAACAAGACATCCCATTATGCAAACATCATTTTATTGTGAAACCAGAATCAAATGACTTAAAATCATTTGCATAGTGCTTATGACAATGCATATTGTTTCGGAGCAGGTTTACAAAGTATAACATCATACAACACACACCCTTACAAAACATCAATGTATCAACTGGATGTGTTCATACAATGAAAGTCAATGGGGTCCAAATTGATATATTTGGTCCCCATTGACTTTGACATGAGGTTGAGTAAATTGAATCCTATTGAATGACATGAGGGTGAGTAAATGTTGACAGAATTTTTCTTTTGGGGTGAACTAACCCTTTAAATCACCATCCATTGGTTTCACAGACAAGGCTTAAGCCTAGTCCCAGACTAAAATGCATGTTTAAACTTTTAACTGAAAGAAACTTGCACTGACATATCTTAAAATATGTCACTGCCTTGTTTTGTCTTAAGATGCACACCAGTAATATATGTTTTTCTAAGGCACGTTTATAAAAGCTACTTAAATGTCCTAATTGAACTAAGACCTAATCCTGGCTTAATCTAAGCCCTGTCTGAAAACAGGCCTATATCAGCAATCTACGACAACATATGTCATTTTTTGACATGTCTGTCACATTATCAAACTTAAGATTGAAATGAGCATTTTAGCTTAGCAAACAGATTAAGTTTAGCCATATATATATATATATACACTCACCGGCCACTTTATTAGGTACCCCATGCTAGTAACGGGTTGGACCCCCTTTTGCCTTCAGAACTGCCTCAATTCTTCGTGGCATAGATTCAACAAGGTGCTGGAAGAATTCCTCAGGGAGTTTGGTCCATATTGACATGATGGCATCACACAGTTGCCGCAGATTTGTCGGCTGCACATCCATGATGCGAATCTCCCGTTCCACCACATCCCAAAGATGCTCTATTGGGTTGAGATCTGGTGACTGTGGAGGCCATTTTAGTACAGTGAACTCATTGTCATGTTCAAGAAACCAATTTGAAATGATTAGAGCTTTGTGACATGGTGGAAGTAGCCATCAGAGGATGGGTACATGGTGGCCATAAAGGGATGGACATGGTCAGAAACAATGCTCAGGTAGGCCGTGGCATTTAAACGATGCCCAATTGGCACTAAGGGGCCTAAAGTGTGCCAGGAAAACATCCCCCACACCATTACACCACCACCACCAGCCTGCACAGTGGTAACAAGGCATGATGGATCCATGTTCTCATTCTGTTTACGCCAAATTCTGACTCTAACATCTGAATGTCTCAACAGAAATCGAGACTCATCAGACCAGGCAACATTTTTCCAGTCTTCAACTGTTCAATTTTGGTGAGCTCTTGCAAATTGTAGCCTCTTTTTCCTATTTGTAGTGGAGATGAGTGGTACCCGGTGGAGTCTTCTGCTGTTGTAGCCCATCCGCCTCAAGGTTGTGCGTGTTGTGGCTTCACAAATGCTTTGCTGCATACCTCGGTTGTAACGAGTGGTTATTTCAGTCACTGTTGCCCTTCTATCAGCTCGAACCAGTCTGGCCATTCTCCTCTGACCTCTGGAATCAACAAGGCATTTCCGCCCACAGAACTGCCGCTCACTGGATGTTTTTTCTTTTTCGGACCATTCTCTGTAAACCCTAGAGATGGTTGTGCGTGAAAATCCCAGTAGATTAGCAGTTTCTGAAATACTCAGACCAGCCCTTCTGGCACCAACAATCATGCCACGTTCAAAGTCACTCAAATCAACTTTCTTCCCCATACTGATGCTCGGTTTGAACTACAGGAGATTGTCTTGACCATGTCTACATGCCTAAATGCACTGAGTTGCCGCCATGTGATTGGCTGCTTAGAAATTAAGTGTTAACGAGCAGTTGGACAGGTGTACCTAATAAAGTGGCCGGTGAGTGTATATATATATAAAGCAAACAATGAAAAAAACTGTCCCTATAAAAAGTATTTCATTTCAAGACATAAGCCCGGTTTCACAGACAGGGCTAAGATTAAGACAGGATTAGGCCTCAGTTCAATTAGGACATTTAAGTATTAGGCCTCAGTTCAATTAGGACATTTAAGTAGCTTTTATAAATGTGCATTGTAATAAAAATATTACTGCATCTTGAGACAAAAAAAAATGGCACTGACATATTTTAAGATATTAGTGCAAGTTGCTTTCCGTTAAAACAGCTAAATAATGCATTTAAGTCTGGGACTAGTCTTAAGCCTTGTCTGTGAAACTAGGGGATAGTATACAGTAAGTGGCTATTTTATTCTCTGTATTTATATTGTTACAGGACATATTAAATCTACTGTGTGAGTGGACCTGAGCTAAAAACACCATGTGATTTTCTCCTCCTCACACTCCTCGACTTATCTATCTCTTGATAAGGTTAAATATATATAAAGACCACAATAACTTAAAATAAACATAACGGTGTCATGTGTGGGAAGATGGCACTTTAAGATATCACATGTCAAACTTTGTCCCTATGAGGAAGTGTGGGCCCAGCCAAATGCCACAGGAAAATCTGATCTAATTGACAAAAAAAAAAAAAAAAAATACCCAGTACCCTTTCCACCCAGTAATAGTCTCTAGTTCTTTGGGTAGGTTACGGTTAAAATTGGTGGTGTAGAAGCCATTGTCACGTTTAAGAGTTAAATGAACTTTATAGTCTATTACGCTATACTCTCGTCTTCTCAGCCAGAACACACACAGGATGTGTAACCATAACAACAGTGTCAGTCCAGTAAAAGCAAATAACCAGACGAACACACAAATGGCCTGTCTTCTCCTTCTCTCTTCTTTTCAATGTGCTTTAGGACGCCATTGGTGCGCTTGACACAGCAAACAGTGGCAGCTGTTGTACAGCGCAGTAAAGCCAGGCCTGCAAATTGCAATAACAGTGAGTAGTTTGTGATTACATCACTGTTTACTAATGCTTCTGTACTTTGACAGCTCTCCCTGGGTAGAAAAGAAGCTTATTTAACCAGCTCAGAATGTACACCCTGCTAATTTTAAAAGGGAGTTTCATAAAAAGTCAAATTTGATCAACAGGTTTGCTTTGTAATCGTTTTTAGTCATCTGTGACTAAGGTAGCCTACATGCACAGAACTCTGAAATGAATATAATGTCTAGCAAACCAACTGCACTTGCTTTTTCAGCTCCTCTAGACTTGTTACTTTTAAAGAACATAAAGAAAACACACAGTTCTCCAAATAGAGACAACGGTTTCGATGAGGAAGTAGATAGTTACAAAAGGCCACACATTAAATAGCTTCTCAAACGCCCTTTGTCACAAACACTGATGACAATTACTATATTTCTGGTGTTATCAACACACTTTTATGAAAGAGTTCATATCCATCTTTTTGTGTGTTTCCTTGAACAAACCAATTTAGGTCATTGAGTGGGACACGTACCCCTCAAAATTCAGATTAATGTCAAAGTCATTTATTGTCATGCGTACAAGTTCCCAAGTACACTGAAAAACCTATTGAATGCTTCTTCAAAATATAGTAAACCTCACTGCTACGTACACAAAAATATACATATACACAGAACTTACAACATAATTGCTTGGAAATAAGACAAGATAAACAAGACAATAGTGACATAAGACAAACAAAGTGACATTAAATGGTTAACCAACCTCAGTTTTTAATGGTTGATTTGGAGATTATTACATCTGGGCACTCTGAATCCTGAATATTTGGTAACATTTAGATGAAGAGAAACCAAATACGATTCATACTGAGTATTAAAAACGATTCAATTGAAATTGAATTAAACAGCAATAGACAGAAAAGCAATGAGGAAGTCTCACAAGCTGAAACAACAAAAGAAGGAAGTGTAGAGAGCAACAAATAGTTACCATGGGGTTACAAAGGCAACAAACCTAAAGTCAGACTATAGTCCTACTTCTGGTCTAAAAGGTGATTGACATGATGTAAAATGCATAATTTCTGAACTGATAGCATTAGCTATAACATAACTTTACCGTTTTGGACTCTTGGACTATAAATGCGTAAGCTATTGTTCAAAACAAAACCCATGATTGAATTTGTTTCTGGTAAGTTACCCGTCCACCCCCTTCTATCAATGTTTAACAGGCCGTAGTGTTTTATAAAGCACTCTAACCTTTCACCTGTTTCAAGACACACTACAATGAGCTGTGTTAGTAACCGTCTGGATCGTCTGGACATGTCTAATGTTTAACCTGCCTGTTGCAATGCGTTTGTGTTCAATGAATAAATAATGAATAGAAATGTCAAAGAACTGTTAATGTTCCATCCGTTACATTTGATAAGCTTGCCATGAAAATGACTAAATTAAAGTGATCGAGAACAACAGTGGCCTTAAAAGGAATATTCCGGTCTGGGATCAACATAAAAATGAAGGGTATATTCCCTCATTTTCTTGAAATAAATCAATAATCATGAGGCACTTATATAAAGGA